GCTTTTGAAATGCTTATTCTTGTTAAAATATTTTTTCTTGTGTACCTTGATCATTGTGCATTTCCTTTCCTTTACATGTTGGAGTTCATTTTTACATGTTCATTTGTATTTAGTATTTTGATTTTCATATAAGTTTTTCTTTCCCCATTAAATTTTGAAAAAACAGAATAAAAAAAAAAAAATTCCCTTCCTGCTTCAAGCTAAAGAAATTTGAGTTCAAAATAAGTTAATTGCACATTTTATTATTATTATTATTATTATTATTATTATTATTATTATTATTATTATTATTATTATTATTATTATACTAATTGAAAATCGAAGTATAATTTTGTTTAAACATCTGTTTGCATTCTGACTGCATTTCCTTGGAGAACTGGCAAATTAAATCAATTTTCTCCATTGTCTAGATTTTGTCGCCTGATGAACCAAACATGATAAATTGAATGTAAATAGTGAAAAGGTTTGAATGTGAAAATTTAAAAAAATGTTTTAAATATTTGGAAAGAAAGGCTAGAAGTAAAGAATGTGGAAGATATTGCCCTTAGAATTGTAATTTAAAACATATTCAATTATTGTGTTTTTGTGTTTCTTTCATCTGTGAATCCTGTTGTCAGAATAATTTGTGCACATTTCTCACATGAATATTTCAGACCCAAGGAGATAATTTAGAAATAATTTCTTAGTTAGAAACTTCCAATGAAATTAGTTCAAAATGCGAGTTGACTACAGTGCTTGAAATCTCAAGTACTGCTTACAGCAACTTATGAAGCAGAGAATTTTCCTGACGTTTCAGATATACTTGGAAATTTAAAAGACTGATCATTGCAATATTCTTGCCAGTAATTAATCAGATTTTGTAGGCTCTAATAAATTTCTCTCAAAATTTGATAATAGTAGTAATCATTTATGATAATGGGTTAACTTTACCATATTGTAGATTGTAGATATTTGATGATGTATTTCCCTCTTGGAGAGCAGCATGTAAAATGAGTTTTGAGATATCTGAATAAAATATAATTTCAAATTCTTAAATTTTTAAAATTAATTTTAAACTTAATTTATTCAGTGCATTTTTGGTATTGTCATTTTGAGTAGTAAAAATTCAGTTACTCTTTGGCTGTTTCAATAGATTTTCACAATCTGGAATGTTACTTCCGGGATGTAAAATAGTTCTGAAATTGTTATACATACATTATTTATTGGACAGGCTTAAATTCTGAAGTAAATTAAGTAAAATTCTATTGTTGTTGCTTTTAAAAAGAAAATAATGGAAAGTCAAGTTGAGCGTAACAGAGAAATTTCATTTTAATTTCCTTAGATTTCCGTAGAAAAGGATCCATCCATTTAAAGTGATTCAGCACTGGTTGCTCGTCCATCTCAAAAAAGTAATTTCCTGTTCTTTCAATGTTTAAACCCGTTTAAAAAAAATCATTGTATGGTTCACAAATGGCATTCATTTTCGTTTTAAGTTGCTTTCCAGTTTTTGGGTATGAATTCATTTATAGTTTTGTAATTTACTCAGTGATTTGTTGTAGTAGATTTTTGAACTAAAATGCATTGATAAAGTAAACAATCCTACAGATTAAAGTGATATTTATGTACCTAAAGTGTTTTATTCAGGAAATATTTACGACCCAAAACTGTTGTGTGTAAATGAAATAATTTTGAAATTCAGAGAGTAATATTTCAAAGAAGGAACAGTCACAGCCATATTTTCTCCTGTGCTTTTACACGTGTTTTGTTACGTTATATAAAATATCAATGATACTTAGCATACCTCTTAAAATTACACCCTTCTAAAACTTGGAATTTTGAATTGTTCAAAAATTTGAAATTTGTACACTAAAACCTTATTGCTATGGGGGAAAAGAAAGAAGAAAAAAATTGTTATTGAAGAGAAGTAGCGACAAGAAGTAATCATACTACTTTCCTGTGTGGAAATCAAATATATGTTACTTTACAATAATTAATAATATTTTATTATAAATAAACAAAATTTGCTGGTTATGTAATTTTACCATTCAATCTTTTTGTAAATGAAGTCATATAGGCATGGCAACCTAAATCTGCTTATATATAAACGATTTATTTTGACTACAAAAATGACTTCACCAAAAAAATAAAAAGTAAATGTTCTGTGTCTAAGAAAAATAAAATCATCAGTATAAAATTAAAATTGTCAGTTTATTTCAGTTCTTGAATTAACAGTTTATTTCAGTTCTTGAACTAAAGAATGAAATTGAAGTGTCGGATTGTATGGGAAAATTTACTAGATATAGTGAAATAAAATGGTATTTTTCCTGAATGACAAAAAAGGAAAGCATCAAAGCTGGTAAATAAAGAAACAAAACAAAAAGTAACAAGATTGTATGAAGTTGACAATCAGATGCCTGGTTCAAAGGATTGTTTCACTTAAGGAAAATGTTCCCAAGATTCTAAAACGAGATAATTCTGTGAAATATAAGCTGATTATTTTGGGAATGAAGAGTAAAGACTACCATTAAAAATGGAAGATCAAAATTTGTGAGTTAGGACTACAATGGTGACAATTATGTATTATGGAATTCTGGTATTCATACTGTTTGGTGCCTGTTTATGAGTGTATCATCAGAACACAAAGTTAATAATTAATGGAACCAAACTTAAAGTTGATTATGTTGATTATGACAGTCTTTTGGAATTTCATAGTGTTTGAAGAGGTCTCAATGCCAGAAACACTTCTGGCAACCACTGGGTGATACAAGATTGAACTGAAATGATATGTGCAAAACTACGTGAATATGTTTTTGAAATATTGGTTGATAAAATTATTTACTGATGATAAAATGTAACATACTTGATCATACTGATGATAAAATGAAACAACCATAAAAATATGTGTTCAGAAACACATGTTTTGAAAGATTATTTACATAACTAAGTTTCATATGAACTAACATTATGGTCTGCTTAATGTGGTGTAAAAAAATACAATTTCTCCAAATACACAAACAAAAAGATCTTTATCTGGATATGCTAGGACAGGTTATTGTATGTCTTTTTTTCTTCTTTTTTTTTCAGTCAAGTCACAGCAAAAATTCCTGTGATATCGTAAGGGTAGTACCAAGCTGTCTGTAATACTACTATAGAATAGGACTAGTTTACACAATCAAAACTTTAAAACCCACCTTAAAATTTTATGAAGAAAATATTAAATATATTCTTGTATATAAATAATTATTCTAGTAGTTAAATATATTCTAGTATGCCTTTGAAAAACTGAGGAAATTCAAAAACATATTTCTAATATTTTATAGGAAAGAATCTTGTCAGAAACGTGAAGGCACTAAAGCTTTTCATTGCTTTTTGATACTATCAGAAACCATGATAGTACCAAACAGTACACATCAAGAGTTCAAAATGGCTTGAAAATAATATGTTAACTACTTGTCACCATTTCTCCCAAATGTTGAAATGAATGATTTTTCATATAAGTTGACATTTTTTTAAACTCTCAATTAAATCTCAAATTTGATATGTGTACTGCAGTTTGGTATCATAGCAATTGTGTGCAAAAATTACATTTTTATCCCCCCCCCTCCAAGAGAGATGAAGTTGAACATTTAGCAATAATCCAAAATTCCTATTTCTAGGATGGTGTAATTTTTAACTGGTTAATTGTTAACTGGTACTTATCATCAATGTTTTAAGTAAGGAAATAGCAACTATTTCATGAAAGCTCAGAAAAACTAAGGATGACTGTTAAAATAGAAATTTGTTCATTAGCAATTGATAAATTTGGTTGCAAATATTAACCTAATAACATTTTGGGTAAATATTACTTTAAATTTTAGACCTGAGATCACAGAATCCAGTGAATTTTAGTTTAAAAATCTTCAACAACCTAGCACCGAATAATTTACATAATGTAAATGTGTACATGCACAAAAAATTGGTGCATGACTTAAAACAAAAATGGCTGCCAATATGAACTACACATTATAAACATAAACAAACAATATTTTTTAAACCAACCAAAACATGAATTTTTTCTGAGATGGTGAGGTGACCAATTTATTTAATTCTGAACCACTCAAGAAAGAATGGCTCCCAAATATTTCGCTTGCTCTAAAATGTTTTGACCCAGCAAAAAATAAAAGAAACATTTATGAAGGGAAGGTATGGGTCTACAGTTCTTCTACACTGCAACTCAATATTCTTGTTTTTTCTTACTAATGACTAACAATATATAAAGTACAGATATTGCATTCATTCAACATCAGTGCATAAATTATTTGTGATTTTGTTTACCAAAGTAATACAAGATAAATAATTGACAATTATTCACTTATGACTGGATATTTATTACTGGAAAGAATTATATATTGCTGAAAATACTAAAATTATCTTTATATTTCCAGGGAATGTGATTTTTTTAAATTTCTCAACATGTTCAGTTCAAAACAGAGCCATGTAATGTAGTTGCTTTAAAGACTAAAGGAATACCTTATCTCAATATTTACTTATAATAGCTAATTGTATTTGAATAATATTTCTAAAAAGTATGAAATGTTTTGTGATACAACGATATATTGCTGTTGGTAAATGAGAAAAGAATTTGGTTTCTAGTAATCTATGTACTTTGCAAATTGTTCTGAAATGAGTGAGGAAGGAGAATAAAGAGCTTATTAATTGTGAAGGTAGTTATTAAGTAGTAGTTTATTAACTGTGGCATGCCTAGCTTCACTCTTGTTAAACCAATTTTGCGACATTTGTAAACAAGCAACCAAAATATAGAAAATTGCACTTGGCATGTAATTTCCAGTGTTTTTGTTTTTGTAAATGCTGTTGAACACTAAAATTGAGTAAAGCATTTATATTTTTGAAACTCACTTTATTGTCTATCAGGCATTGCCTATTGCACAATATTAACTTCAAACAGTTGTATTATTTGTTTCCATGAAATTACATTTTTATTTCCTGTTGAATTCCAAACACGTGGTTTATTTTTTTCAAAGGTTTGTGTGGAAACTGGATTGAAATTGCTTATGGCACAAGTTCGGGAACTGTTAGAGTTATTGTGCAGCACCCAGAAACAGTTGGTCATGGCCCTCAACTTTTTCAAACGTTTACTGTACATCAGAGTCCTGTGACAAAGGTAAATTTTATCTTAAGTTGTTTTAATTTTTGATGTTGATGAAAATGTTGAGTCTTCCAAAAATTTATTTGACTAATCTTTCCTTGTGTAGGTTACTTTGTCAGAGAAATTCTTGGTGTCAGTATGCAGCGAGTATAACCATGTTCGAACTTGGAGTGTGACAAGGTTTCGTGGCATGATATCCACGCAACCAGGATCCACACCTGTTGCATCTTTCAAAATTGTCTCTCTGGATGAAGTGGAGCCATATATAAGCTATACTGCTGGAAATGATTGCGGTAAGATGTCTCTAAACATCATCTCAAACGAGATAATGTTAATAAAATAGTTAACGGATGTTAACATTTATTCACTGGATTTCATCAACTGAAACAATTTAATCTCAACATCTCTTTTTTCAGGCCCATATGGGGAACAAGATGATGAACAGGTTTTTGTACAAAAAGTTGTTCCTGAAACAGATCAACTTTTTGTTCGCCTTGCATCAAATGGCAAAAGGTGATATGATCTATCCATTGTTTCAATAGATATGTAATTAGTATTGAATGCATTTAAAATGTTAAGCCAAATTTTTTTAAAAAAAATTTGCAGAGTCTGTGTTATTAAAGCAGTGGATAACACTACAATCACATCATTTTGTGTGCATGAGTGTGAAGGATCGAGTCGTATGGGTTCTCGCCCCAGACGTTTCATATTTACTGGCCATAGCAATGGTGCCATTCAGATGTGGGATCTCACAACTGCTCTTGATTTGGCCATAAAAGGAGAACCAGGTGTGTTTTTTGACATTTATTCATACGTTACACCCTTTTATTTTAAGTGAAAATAAATTAATATGAAGAGAGATGTAATAAGAGAATTGTATGTAAAGGAATTTAACTTAATTCTGTATTTTTATTTAAAGAATAAAATATAAGAAATTACATTCTTATACTATACTGTTTCCTGTGTAATTAGAAAACTACAAGAGTTAATATTGAATTACGTTTTCTTTTTCTCAAATTCGAAGAAATTGTTAGTGTATTAGTCTCATGATGTTTGTTTCTTCCCCATATTTTTTGAGTTGTAGTAACTTTGCATTTACATGAATACATATCATATGGCATTAAAATAAATAAAAATGCTTGCCGCAGTAACCATTAATTTATTTTCAAGAATTCTGTTATAGTTTAATGTATCAATTGTGTCAATGTTAGTGTACCAATAATTGTCCTTGTAGAATGACAAGGACATGAACAATGTTTTAAATAATTACTTCCAGTCAATTTGGAATTAATGATAATGAATGTCAGGATAAATTAGTGGTTGCTGGGCTCATCTTCAGTGCTCTCAAATTTCTGGAATGAAATATTTCTGTTTGGCCTGACCAGCCACACAGATGTCTGGTGGACCGACAGCTGAGGAATTGCTGAAGTTGCTAGACCAATGTGATTTGAGCAATAGCCACTGCTCCACACCGTGCATCTCTCCATGCCCCTCTATGGCTGCTAATGCTGCAGCACGTATAAAGGCTTCCAATGTTGCCTTCCTGAATCAGTCTCATGAAGCATCTGAGAGAGGACCTGCAGGAAGTGGAGGTACTCAATGTTAATATTTTTGGTTTTCAGGCTCCTGTTATTTCTTGAAATCAATGAAAGCAAAGGGTGCAAATGATTGTATAAGGTTAGGAGTTTTGTATTCCTTTATTTTTTTTTATGGAAAGGTTAGCACACTTTTATTATCAAGCTGATCCTTTTGAACTCTGTGATACTTAGAGCATCTATTTAGGAAAGAAGTCTCTTTAGAATTACTTAATATTTATTAAGAGAAAGCTATTGTATTTCTTATGTGAATTACCAATATGATTGAAGATATTTGTTCTATACACATTTTTCTATATTTAGTTGTCTTCTGTGATTTTGTTCAAAGATCTGATAAAGCTTTTAATACAATGAACATTGCTCATATGTGAGACATTGAAAGTTGTGAATATGATATGTGGACAATAAATGAAATGCAGCTGTGAACCTTTACTGTTCCTATAGCTCTGAATATTTTTATGTTCGTACTCAAATAGGAATTTCACAATAGATATGTACTCTTTTGTATTGTGAAGTTACATTTACTGAAGTGCTGCCATGATCAGTGAACGAATTCTGTGGTATTCTTGTTCACCTAATTTCAATCTATAGTGGAATATTTTAATTTTTATTCTCAAGAAGTTAGCTTGCCCAATTAATTATGTGTACATGTATTACACGGTTAAACTTATGCGTATGCTTCAATTCATTGTGTGCATTCTTGGTGAATTGTTTACACTGAATATCAAGAAATTAATTTGGAAATTGCAAACTATATTGTGCATTTAAAATATGCATGAATATAATGTAAGCATATAACACATTGTAATTTAAAAATGAATTGATTATCTATTAAGCGAACTAAATTCTCGTTTCGATTGCTTTTCATTTGTTCATTGTTCCATCTGTTTGTGAACATAATGAATATTAATACACAGTAATTTTTGTTTTTTATTGGCTCCTCATAGTTGTACACTTTTGTTTGGGATCTGTATGTTCAAACATGGAGTGCAAACTAATGAAGAGAAAGATTTGTGATCAAAATAAATTACATTTGTTTTGCAATTCTTAGTAATCCTACAATGATATCTTGAATTGTAGTTTGAAGGGTGGCTACAAAAAAAAAACAAAGATATTATAAGATTAAAAATCATATCATGTGATGCCCTCCTAACCAACAGATGGTTTAAAAGGGCTGGGTTGTTTTTAGTCAGCATTGATTTTACTGATGAATCTTTTGCAATGGTACACCAAAACAATAACTCATCAATATGAAAATACATTCTCAGAAAAGGCTGTCAAATTAAATTAAATCATTATGTAGCATATTGTTACATTTACTGTAGTGTAGAAATATTTTCTGCACATATTTATATCATGTAATTCCAATAACTTCAATCTACCATGTATAATTTTGTATACAGATTTGAAAGTATTTTATGTACAGTTATCTGTATCAGAAATAGTCTGTTACTCAATGCAAATAAAAAAGCTAGAACCTATATGCTGTTTTATTGAGTGAAGCGCATTACTTTTGGATAAGGATATGTTATTTAGCAAAGTGCAATAAACTGAACTTGTTGCTAGTTAAGTCACATAAATATTGAGTGGATTGAAATGGTTGTGCAGTAACGTAGTTCCTAAAATTATGTAAAGGGGGGTAGATTTGTTTGATTTTCCATTCAAGTTTTGGAGTTGACCTGCCTTTAGATATGTCATTCTGTGAACTATATAGCATATCACTGTAAAAGAATGTTTGTACAAAAACAAAATAAACTTTTACGCAGATAATTAAAAAAAAGTATCAATGCAAGGGTAATTAAGTTGGTGAGTTTAATGTAATACCAGAATTAGAGATAATTCTCATAACCTTTTGTAAACCAGATGAGTGAAAAATCAATTACTATGATATTGAGTATCTGATACACTTCCTGTTACAGATTTAACACACTTTGCAATGAATCTGGTGCAAATTCTATGTAAATCAAATAATTTGTGAAGCTTTGCAATAAAACAAAATGTAACAAGATAGAGGATTGTATAGGCATACTGACAAGTTTTCTATCAGTCCTTTGAGGTTTGTACAAGTGGAAGATGTATAGGTTTGCTAAATATCAGTCTTTGGTAGAAGAATCAAATTTATTTCATAGTAAATGTAAAATGTTGTGTAATTATTTTTCAGGAACTAAGAATCTCGATATTTAGGAACCAATGGATTGAGTACATTTCAAGAACTGCAATGCTTCAGTAATGCTGCTATTGAGTGTCTATTTGTTTGCCATGCAGATGTGAATTTAGTAATAAGCAAAATTTTCCCTCTAACTTGGTTACATTTCTTATCATGAACAGGATTTTTCACTACTTTAATTATTTCAAAAGTTGTTTCTTGAGAGAAAACATTTTTCTTAAAGTTAAGGTTCCTTTCTCAATAAATGCTCTGCGACTAGTCTGCTGTATCACTACGCCTGCCAGTAATATGTTGTGATAGTACCTATACACGTCCTCAGTCTGAAAGAATTAGCAGAAAAGGATAAAAGAAACACCAAGTTTATCCTTTGTAAGAGTTTTAATTTAAAATCATGAAAATTAATACTAATTACAGTCCAGATGTTTTATTGCATGTGATCATTATGGTCATGTGTGCAATGTTCTCAAGCATGCACTCATACCTACATACATACATACACTCTCACAAAGATTATAAAGACATAATGGCAATTACATGGAATCTACAAAAGTATATAAAAGTACAGGATCAATAAAAAAATGATTTGCAAATGTCCATGCAATGGCATCAATGAAATGAAATTGATTTTAACCACTATTTCATATGTACAAAGTATTTAAAATATACTTTCAGTGTAGTTCTACATAATTTATGCTTATGGCATGCAATTTTACTTGAGCAATTTACATACTTTTAATTTGTACGTGTTTGACTAGTTTTCTTATTTTTATTTTTGAGTAGCACTTCATCTGGAAACCTGAAATGGTGTGAGCATTCTTGTGCACACATGAGTAATTTCTGTACACATGCATTAACAAGTAGACAATCTCCATCAAAAAATTAAATACATCTACACAGTAACTTTCAATTGAACAGCATGCTATCACATAATGTGATTTGATAATTTCAGTCACAACACTGTAAAGCTAGAATTATTCTTAAAAACATCACATATAAAGTAATAAAACATTCTCCCTATTTATTATAAACATCAAACTTCATTTGCTTATTTATATTTAAAATCATTGGAGTACTTTTGTCCCCTATTATGATACTTCTGAAGAAGGCCAACAAGGCAGGGTTATTCACAAAATCCTGAGATATTAATGATTCCTTGGATCAGAATAGGCACTGATTTAATAAAATTCCCTGCAAGTTTACAAGGAAGTATAATGGTGCAACAATCTGTGGAACTTTGCTTGACATGAATTAAAAACAATTGTCAGTAATGTGAACAATAAGAAATCATTGACATTGAAGCAAAAATGGTATCCACTACCATCTTATTTTCTTGAAACAGAAAAAAGGCCAGCAATTCATATTCAAGTGTAATTCTAGCAGCCCTAGAAGTCATATACACTTTAGTCTGTTTTCATTAGAAAAATTTCAATGAGTAAGCAAAATACATAATACAATTTAACATGATGTAGGTCAATGCGACCTAATAATGTTAAAGTGCATGTCATCATTTTTCTCATAAGCTATGATACTCAAACTTCTACTTCTGATTTATGCATTTATAAGGATGAAATCAATTTAAACTAATCAAAATAATTAGAACACAAATCATTGCTCAACAAAAATACAGTTCCATTATAAATTTTATTAGTGAGAATTTCCTTAAGAGGTGTTACAAATATTTTTTGCAAACATACATTGGATTTAAATGCAATTTTTGTAACTACTCTAAATGTCCTGAAGCCTTAATCAACTGAGCAATTTGTTCACTGAAATTTCGTTTAGTTACTTCCTTAAGTCAAATTTAAATATCATTAGTTATAACTTTATTTTCCAGTTTCATCTCGGACAATACAGCACTTTTACTTCCACTTCTCTGGCCTAGATTACACTAAAGGATCTTGGAAGCACCAGCATAATCTTGCCTACAATAATGATGTTATTTTCAACAAAGTTCCACAGGTTTTTTAAGATGGGGAAACTTATATAAAATATAATTAGTGCCATCTTTTTTTCAATATTATTTTGTTGCTAGTAATATGAAAACAGTTAATTGTACATAAATCTCAACTACAATAGATGCAACAACAAAGATAACATGTTAATACTTTGATAAGGTTTTAAAAATTCTATGTCGAGATATGTTACCATAAGATAATAAAATTAGTCTCACAAGCTCATATATATATATAATGTGCAATCAAATTTGTGCTTATTAGTTCTGTAGCAATAAACCTCTCAGAACAATTTTTTAAAATTTTAAAAAACAAATTTAAATGGAAACAATTCTTACATAATACAAAAGTACATTACAATAAGCAATCTTCATACATGATTTGACTAATCTTTGGTAATAATTTTAAAATTATTGATTCAAAGAGTAGTTGCTCATTGTTCAAATACTGAAATCTATTATTTCTTTTTCTAATGACAAAAAATAAATTAATGTTCAATCTCACTAGGCAAATGTTATTGTAGACACACAGGCTCTGAAACTGAAAAGTAAAATAATAATGAAGCTCAAGCTAGACAAAGGACATTACTGGTCAAAACAAAATAATAATAAAGTCATGGAAGACTACAAAAAGAAAAGAAATCTACAAACAATTTCTATCGGTAATACCATGTCTTTGTTTCAGTATATTATTTGTAGTACTATGGAGGATAGAAATTCATTAATTACAAGTTATAGCAAAGGAATAATAAATTAACTTTAAATAGGACAAATAAGGGATACGTTATTGTCAAGATGTTAAAAACCACCACTTCTCCTTTGCTCACGTTGCACATAAAGCATTGGAAATCTTGACGTTGACAGTGATGGCTTTTGAAGGCTCTTTTGTTACCAATTTCTGTGAACAAATCCATCCTCTGATACAAATCAATGGCAATCAGTGGTATCTCCAGAAGAGCTGATTGCTGTATATACTGGGAGTAGTAAGAGGTGTCAGGAGCAAACACCAGCTTAACAAACCAACAACAAAGAGAGACATCAGGAGAATTCTTTGAGGCTTCTGATAAGTGAGAAGTTCACCAAAATCCGGAAACCCCATGTGATTGCAAAATGCATGAGCAGCAAAAGGAGCCACAAAATGACCTAAAACATAAACTTACTTCATCCACTGCATTGAGCAAAATATATACAACTTAAATTAAAAAATATGCATACCTGTTTTAGCAAACAGGAATGCGGAGTAAGCACCAAACATGGTAGTGTAGGAAAACTGGAAGCCTGCACAGGATCAGATGATAAAAAACTGAATTTTAATATATTTTCATTCAAGAGATGTATGTTACTTACAGGATAACATTAGCGACCTTTTGAAGTCTAATCCATTTCTCATTCTTTCAACCATATGATGAAAATGAGCTGCAAAACATTATGACATTATTTATTCCATGTAAATTTAATAAGGTTCAGTAAATTCATCAAACAATCCCCAAACAAAACATAGTGATTATACAGTACACAAGCTGGTTAATGACTTCAAAATCTTGGCAGAAGAAAATAAATGAATTAACTCTTCGCACCAGTATATATGAAAGCAAACAGCCGTCTAACTTTTGTCTTTTCTCTTTACCTAATTAAACCCAATCGCAAAATCTTCTATTTACAACACAGTATGCCTATTAACTCCATTTTATTGATACATTTAGCCATACACATTTTTATATATTAAGCCATACACTTTCTTTCTGAATGAATTAAATTTTTTTCCTCCAAAAGCTAATTTTACTGGCACGTCTTAAAACAATATTTTTAACCAGCAAATGTCAGTTTCTCTACAATCAGGATTCTTTTAATACATCAATACATAAAGCACTGAGTTTTTATGCTCTTATGGCATTTATTACATGAACTTTGATGCTATAATTAAAAAAAAAATAACACGTTTATCCAAAAACAAAATCATTGTTACATTCTCACATATTTTTCTTTGAAAAATTATTCTCATTAATATTTTCAAAAATGATTAATGAAACACAATACAGTTTTGATGTAGAGTAACTTTTTTGGAAAGGATGAAAAATGTTTCGCTAATATAGTTGTCAATTAAATATGACTTGGTGTGCATGACAGGTTTCAGATCTAAATCAATAGAATATTGTTCACATTCTGAACACTTACCTACGCCAAAAAATAAAGGACAGATGAACACCGCTGTCAAAGGCCGGAAGCACTGAAGCAGCAGAGGGAGCATGCACGCTCTGAAAGTTAGTTCTTCAGACAAAGGAGCCACCACATGATTACGCAGCCAAATTAAACTTTTTGCATTTGACACCCAGTACATCGGTTCTAAAACAACGACAACTGAATAGCAACATTAAGAAATGATGCACAAATGAAGTTCCTCTAATTTTTACATACTTTCTTACTCTTTCTTTGACTCCTTCACAGTTAATTAACTATATTAAAAGAAATTCCACACTTTTAGTTCTGTATGTGGTGTTGGTAAAATATTTCACATTCATCTTGTAATGAATAATATAATATTCAAGATGCTACTAACAATTTGATGGTAGAATATTTTATGGCCTCTGAAAAAATGAAATGAAATTGTGTAACTCCACACTTTTAGAAGAAATATTTTGGAAACTCTTTGCATAAAATGATGACCAAGAATGGCTGCTGACTTTGATTGAAATGAAATCTAACATACCAGCATACAATTTCCAGAGGCCGCTAAGGCCTTGCATGCTAAGAGGGCCCAGAAAGAGAACCATTGTAAGCCCCAAAGGTAATATTAAAGCTGGTAAAAGTCCTGCCAATCGGAAGCCCATTAGCTGAAGCAATGAGGCCTGGAGAATATAAACATGATAGATATTATAAAGTGATTTGTATCCCTGGTAACTCGAAAAAAAAATATATATAGTACATATGTCAAGAATTTACATTATAATAAATATAACTAAACATTCTAGAGAAATGGTATTGAAAAATATAGTATGGTCATAGGGATAATGGAAAATGTTAAATGTTTTCCCCACGAAGTACGTATTTATTCTGATGCGCAACAAACCGTTTATAACAGAAATACTCACATCTTGAAGCATTTCTTCACTGGAGAAACAATATAAAAATAGTGGAGATATAAACATCATTATGAAGACACTGAAAAACCTCTTTTTTATGGTTGACGGATGATTCCTAAAAATAAAACTGTTTACAGTACTTATGTATAACATTAATTAAGATGTTGTTTACTTCCAAAAAGTAAATTCTACTGAGTAATACTTTTGTAAATAAATTTCAATACGACTTTGCATAATACATTTGGCAACATCGTCACGTGTCGGGCCGCAATATTTCTTGGCTCTGTAGTTAATATGAAGAAGTAAAATTGTGACATGTAACAATATGTATTTGTAATTACCGGTTAAGTGGTGAGTTCCACACATACAAGCTGGCAACATATATCACTGAAAGAAAGAAACATGCTGCAACAGATGATACGCAAGGATAAACTTTACGTTTCTCGCCCTCCATACTGACATTTACAATATCACGTGACCACCGGGAGCCTGCCTATTCGCTATTCGTTATTCTGCCTTGTGAATGAGAAAATGGCTGCTCGGGCTGGTGGAAGTCTCTCCTTTGTTTAGTACTTTCAGGGTTGAAAATTGAAGGAAATATTAAAATGCCGAGTGCTTCGTTTACGTCATCGCGTTCATATGTAAGAAGATCACGAAGAAAAGTTGCGAACAGGATTCCTTTACCATCTCGTACGAGCTCAGGTGAGTCGAAATAATGGAATTCTCTGTTGCTTGGACTCGTCCTGGGACCATGTCTCACCAACCTATTGACAGCTTATGCTCATCGAGTTAATAAGCGTTTACGTACTAGAAAGTCCGAATAATTTGTTTTCAGATGGAGATTTTTTAAATAATTTATTGATTTGTTTCCGTTTACACCATATCTATTACAAAAGTACGAAAATGGCCTGTCAAATGTAGTAAGATACACCATAAAGATAATTGTTCAACGTAACTGAACGTGTAATCAAGTTCATTTATGTGATTGTAATGATGTGCGTTATCGTTAGTCCTCTTTTAAGTGACATTTCGGTATGTGAAATGTCAGAAATAGGGGAAAATATTAAGAGTATTTGTGTAACATATTAGTACCTTGCCCAAGGAGAAGCATGTCTTATGTTCATTTACACAAATATGTTTTTCTCTGGGCAGCTGAGCCATGTGAACTGACTTGCCAAATACCAAATCAAAGCATACCTGGAGCAGGAGGCTCCTCTAGTGCACCACCAGCTGCGGGGGCGTCTTCCTCTAGTGCATCCAGCAGTTCAACTGTGACAGCAGCCACGGGAAGCACAAGCACGTCAGGTTTAAGTAACACAACCAGCAGCCATCACTCACCATATGATTTACGGAGGAAGTCTCCACCCTACCATGATGCTACCGCCAGTACTAGTACAGCTACTTCAAGTTCAACCTCAAGTAATTATTTAGCATCGATGCTGCCTGCACGCAAGCGGCCTCGTCGAACATGTTCTGTCACCAATGAAAGTAAGGGAAGATTTTTTGTATTTGCATTATTATTTCTCTAAATTTGAATTTTAATAATAAAAGGTTGTATTCCGATAATGCCTTTTTTGATATGTTATGCATGACATGTACTTAGTTGTTTATGGATTAATAAATTACTGGAAAGAGTTATTGTAATTATAATTTATGAAGTTGTTCACAAGAAAATTCAATTTTTATTATTTGCAGCTTGTTCGGCGACTGCTGCTCACTATCTTCAGTACGAACTTCCTGATGAAGTTCTGCTCACTATATTTAGTTACCTTTTAGAACAGGACTTGTGTCGTGTTAGCCAAGTATGCAAACGATTTCAAGCTATCGCGAATGACACAGAGTTGTGGTAAGTTCAAGAAAATGCATGTATTTTTTACATTGGTTCACGTGTCTGAGACGATAATTAGTGTCTTAGGCATAAGAAATAGTGTACTTTGAACTGAGTGATAACATATTTATTGCCTCTCTCTTCCACTGCTTTAATCAGTGATAACTGAACGAAATAATTATTTTGCTTCAGAAATTCAATGTGATATTAGTAGTTAATTTGGTTTTTATTTTTTTTTTGCAAGATTTAGAACAATGTATCTTAATTGCAAAATATTAAATGCCACATTATAATTTAAATGTACAATAAAGTACTTTCATTTCTTTTTTTCTGTTTTGTAGGAAAAATTTGTATCAGAGTGTTTATGAATATGACCTCCCATTGTTCAACCCTGCTCCATGTCGGTTTGAGTTTTGTGCACCAGAAGACTCGGATCATGCCAACCCTTGGAAGGAGAGCTTCCACCAGTTATATCGTGGTGTGCACGTGCGACCAGGCTACCAAGACATGACATTCCGTGGCCGTAATATTAAATATTTTAATACAGTTCAGAATGCTTTGGACTTTGCTGACGAGCGTGGTTCCAATGCTGATGGAGATGGTCATGGTGCTTTGGTGTTCCTGCATGCTGGCACATACCGTGGCGAGTTCCTTGTCATAGATTCTGATGTGGCACTCATCGGGGCAGCTCCAGGAAATGTTGCAGAATCTGTTATATTAGAACGGGAATCGGAGAGTACAGTGATGTTTGTGGAGGGAGCAAAGCATGCGTATGCTGGACATCTTACTCTGAAGTTTTCTCCTGACGTAACTTCAACTGTTCCCCATCATAAGCATTATTGCTTGGAAGTTGTTGAAAATTGTAGTCCCACAGTTGACCACTGCATCATTCGAAGTACTTCTGTTGGTTAGTAATTTTATCACCTTGTCTTAACCATTCCTAAGTTTACTAATGTTATTTGGTAATTGTTTTAATTATATTTTTTAAATAGTTGGAGCAGCTGTCTGTGTTAGTGGTGTTGGAGCAAATCCTGTTATCAAACATTGTGATATCAGTGATTGTGAAAACGTTGGTCTGTATGTGACAGACTATGCCCAAGGAACGTATGAGGATAATGAAATTAGTCGAAATGCATTAGCAGGAATATGGGTAAAAAATTTTGCAAATCCAATTATGCGCAGAAATCATATTCATCATGGAAGGGATGTTGGTATTTTTACTTTTGAAAATGGATTGGTGAGTACACTTGATTTTGGACATGTTAAAAAAAGTTTTGCTTATTTTAGGACTGATAATTATTGTTTAGTATCTTTTTATTTTTCGTAAATATTTTTAATAGTGAAATCTTATTTTATTATGTATGTACTTTAAAGTTGCAAAAAAGTAATAGTATTAGTTGTCATTAAAATTGTAACCTCAAATGATAATTATCTGATATCTGGCAATTGAGACTTACTAGTAGAAATTCTATTATTGGACAAAGTACATGTAATGTGCAATTAATATCTATGAATTGTAAATATGGAAGGTTTGTCATTCCATTTTTTGATTTCAGGGTTACTTTGAAGCGAATGACATTCATAATAATCGTATAGCTGGTTTTGAAGTGAAGGCAGGAGCTAATCCGACTGTTGTACATTGTGAAATCCATCATGGTCAAACCGGTGGCATTTATGTACATGAAAATGGTTTAGGTCAATTTATAGATAACAAAATACATTCTAATAATTTTGCTGGTGTTTGGATAACTTCAAACAGCAATCCAACAATAAGGCGCAATGAAATATATAATGGGCATCAAGGAGGAGTGTATATTTTTGGAGAAGGAAGGGGCTTAATTGAACATAACAATATATATGGTATGTTAGATTTGTAAAACTTTTTTAACACGATTAAATGTTTGTTATTGTTAGACTGATGTTTATTTTGTTTTCTGTAGGTAATGCCTTGGCAGGAATTCAGATTCGCACAAATAGTGATCCAATTGTTCGGCACAATAAGATTCATCATGGTCAACATGGTGGTATATATGTTCATGAGAAAGGGCAAGGTTTAATAGAAGAAAATGAAGTGTATGCTAACACGTTGGCTGGAGTTTGGATTACAACTGGTAGCACTCCAGTATTGCGCCGTAATCGAATACATTCTGGAAAGCAAGTTGGTGTGTATTTTTATGATAATGGCCATGGCAAACTGGAGGATAATGACATTTTCAACCATTTATATTCTGGTGTACAAATAAGGTAAAGTTAATTATGAGTATACATTAGTTTGATGTTTTAAGAGAAAATAATTCTATAAGATGTGCATCTTTGCGAATGTGAATTTGTTTGCAGAACTGGAAGTAACCCTATCATTCGAGGAAACAAAATATGGGGTGGTCAGAATGGAGGGGTTCTAGTTTATAATGGTGGTTTAGGGTTGTTGGAACAAAATGAAATTTTTGATAATGCTATGGCTGGTGTATGGATTAAAACTGATTCTAACCCTACTCTCAAGCGGAACAAAATATTTGATGGCAGAGATGGTGGAATATGTATTTTCAATGGTGGGAAAGGTAAGAGCATGTTTGTTAATTTTGTTTTGTATTATAAAAATGGGCATGTACGTACATGGATATTATTTTTTAGGTATACTAGAAGAAAATGATATTTTTCGTAATGCACAAGCTGGTGTTCTTATTTCTACACAAAGTCACCCTATCTTGAGGCGGAATCGGATATTTGATGGTCTGGCAGCTGGAGTTGAAATAACCAACAATGCCACTGCTACATTAGAATATAATCAGATCTTTAACAATAGGTTTGGTGGTTTGTGTTTAGCAAGTGGTGTTCAGCCAATTGTGAGAGGTGAGAAAAATGTATAAAAAGATCTCTTTACTGGGGAGATAATTAATGTTTTAACTTTTGTCAGTGATGCATTTTAAACAAACATGTTACAAATTTAATTTTTTTGATAGGTAATAAAATTTTTAACAATCAAGATGCTGTGGAAAAGGCTGTAACTAATGGTCAGTGTTTATATAAGATATCAAGTTACACGTCATTTCCAATGCATGATTTCTATCGATGTCAAACATGCAATACCACAGACCGCAATGCAATCTGTGTTAATTGCATTAAGACATGCCATGCTGGACATGATGTTGAATTTATTCGACATGACAGGTAAGATAATTTTATTATCATGAATTTATGAGAAAATATTTGCTGTTGCTGGTGACTTATTGTTAGAAAACATGTTGAATAAATGTTTTGTTTGTGAAATAAGTAGATGGTTGCTATTACAGGGTTTTTCTGTTTTCTCATTAAATGGTGTGTTTGTAAGGAATTGTATATAATGGGTTAAAAGATTTTGAGATCGTTCACGTGGCCCTTAGGTCATCAATGGAAGATTTCATCAAATTTTTGTTTTTTCTTTTGTGTAAGTTCCTTGTGCTTTGTAGGTTTGTTAATATAAAATGCTGGATCATCATTTTAATAAATTATCTTGGATTTAGTTTAATGTCTTATGTCTGCAAAGGCTTTCACAGACTCCCCTTGCCCTCATTATTTAGCCATTTTTACACTTGGGATAGCCTCATGAAGCAGTAGCCCATAGCAATGTTTGGAACTTTTTTAATAGGAACTGAGATACAGTGTTGCTCAGTTGACACACATGTTGCAGACCATTGACAGCTTCCTCTGTCTGTCCGTAGGCTGTCATAAATTCATCCTCATGTACACTTATTTGGGAGGGGGGGGGGTAAAGGGAAGGAAATATTATTTTGTTAGGCAAGAGTTCCATCTACACCACACCATGCAATACAAACATCCACACCTATGGTGGGATTCGAACCTGCAACTCTTCAAACTGAGGCTGCTGAAACACATCTGCCTTAGTTATCTCAGCTACCCAGGTCGGCAGAATAAATTAAATTTTCTCATTTTCAGTTAGATGTGTTAAGTACTTGGCATGTGAAGTACTATATGTTTGTAGTTGATATGATTTCTTGTTTAAACATGTAATGATTTTAATTTTTTAATTAAAATACAGGAAGATAAATATGTGGAAATGTTTGTCTGGGAGTCATTGAACTTCAGTAAGAAAAATATTGCTGTGAATTGGAATTGATCTCTTCTGATATTCTCTTTTAGTGTGAAATTGTCAGATGGTTTGCTCTTTCTTAGTAGCTAGTTGTGGGACTTACCATTTTATCATAATGTTGAAAATATTTCCTAGGAAATGATGGGAAAGCTGGTTCACTAACTTGTCTTCAACAATAAACACATAGTCCATTTTATTGTAAGAAATAATTAACAATTGTAATTAAGGGAAGACCTAAAGCAATTATTGATGCATATTTGATAAATGCTGTGTTTACCTGAACATAAGACGACCTGCAAAAGAGGCCTCTTTTAATTTCTGTTTTAATTCTCACTATTTAGTCAAAATAAAATTGCAAATGAGCTCATTGACTAGAGAATTGTCTTTTTGAGTTTCTTAAAACTTATTGCCTGAGCTATCAATATTTTCCTGTTCCTTAAAATCATAATAATATTAATTTTTGTCATTAACCATTATCTTTTTGGTTCTCCTTCCATACTGGATAATCCACTGACTTTAGATCCCTCTGAAAGAGTCTTAGTCTTTCATCTGATGCCACCTTCACCTTCATGTGACCTCTTCCATCTCACCAGATCTTCGTCTTGGCCCACTCTCGTTGTGAAACCTCTGATTCTTAAACAGTGCTCTCTCCTTTATTAGGATATGCTTGAAATTCACTTCGGTTAATGTTTGTGTGATCAAATTGTGAACTAAGAAATTGTATGTCTCCATTTTGTGGGTATTGTGAGAGATAGCAAGTTGCCAAGTTCCCCCCCCCCCCCCCCCCCCCCNNNTGGATTTTTTTGTTTCAATTTTGCTGGGTGACAAACTGAGTCATTTTTCAGTCATGAAACAAAATCTTAGCAATGATATTTATTTATTTATTTTAATGTAGCATTTCCGTGAACATAATGTTCATTTGAGATTCTCCTTTTACTGGCCCATTCAAAAATATTGGCTTAAATTGCTTGGCAAATTTGCAGTGGATATTGGGAATACATCCCTGAATACAATTAGATATTATAGATATGCATATTGTCATCTTTGTTGCTTACTGTTATGTAAACATTTATGAGTCTTTTAACATGGAAAGGCAATGTAAAAACATAAATCATAACCCACAAAGCTTAGTCTGTGAATATAAATAAATTATTCAAATGGGATGTTTTTGAAAAAAAATTGTCTTATTTGGGTAAATATGATCTATTAAATTATTGTAGAACATTTGAGTGTATGATTATCATTCTGTTATTGAACATGTATTTTATTACATAAATTATTAAGCATTGACTTACTGTTCATAATCTGATTTTGACTCTTAAGTATCAATGTAAAGATTTATTTTTTCTTCTATATGTATGTTCTGATCAAATAGTATTAGGTGTTTCTCCTTTTACTGTACTATAATTCATTACATTTATTATTTTCCAGATTCTTCTGTGACTGTGGTGCTGGTACCCTAACCAACCAATGCCAGCTGCAAGGTGAACCCACCCAGGACACAGACACACTCTATGATTCAGCTGCCCCCATGGAGTCTCACACTCTAATGGTGAACTGAGCAAGCTGTTTGTTCTTTGTCTCTCATGTCCCGCTCTCCCCACAGAACAGTATTTGCAGGAATACGCATTGTAGACAATTGCAAGGCAGTTCCACTCGTAACATTCGTGTGCCAGAGAAATAAAACTTCAAAAAGAGAAAAAAATCTAACGCAAGGCCTACCATGTATTTACGATGTGCCAGAGCCCTGTGTTTGACTACACAAGTTGTGTTATTTCTGTAAGAATCTCTTGATTTTGAATTTTGTTCCATATACGTACATTTAGTGAGTAACGTTTTGGATGTGTTTATTTTTTCCAGATGAGGTTATAAATACATATAAATATAAATATATATATATTGTGCATGTGTGAAAGTATGTATTTTGAAATGAATGTGTGTGTACTAAGTGTGAATGACAGTTCGAAGGAGCGTAATAACTTGTAAATATATAAATAGAAAAGGTATGTTTAATATAACGTTTAGAAAATGAAATTTCATTCAAATTACACCGAGAGTTCAATTTAATTTTTGCTGTAGACTTGAGGTTGCATTCAATAACAATGGGAGTCATTATTTGTGAAAGCCACAATTAAAACTCTTGCAGCTACCATATTGTCTAAAGATACGCAATGACTCACATTGTAATACTGTACTTTTTCCATTACTCTTTTTTGTAACAATGCTGTTATCATATACTGTCACTGAATATGTATAGTGCTACTTATATATTAACTATGGAAATAATGTTTGCTATTGAGCGTGTACAGCAGGAATGTTTTAAGATACGTAGTGTGTTTTGGCGCAGTAAAATTGTGCACATAATTCTGGCATATCGTCAACCAGACCTTAGGTCAGTTAGGTAAAGGTGAAACTAACAAAATTTTATCTAAGATCTGCCAAACATGACCTCATGCTTTATTTGGTGTTGTTAAACTGACATGTAAATAGAGTTGGATGTGTTCTGTGCTTTTATTTTTGAAAAATATCATGTATACCTCTTGCTATGTCGTACATTTTTGGTGTGTTTTTGACCAAAAAAAAAAATTAAATGTAATGTTGGATTGGTACATCTGTTTAGGTTTTATTTTTAAAAAATGTACAAAAAAAATCATAAAATTTTTAATTGCAGATGTAGTTTTAATGTTTTTGAGATTTATACATATTGCCAGTTCTAAATAAAACTGAACATTTTTGTTATGATGGTACCAGTAAATAATAGTGTCGTATTGATGAAATGTTTTCTTCATCTCAATATGTGGCAGCGCTACAAAGTGGAATAAACACTTGTAACAATTACTTATTTTTTCTTTGTTATAGTTCACTTAAATAGTATCACCCAATAACTGTGCAGAAGTACAATGTTTATGTTAATGTTTAAGTGACATTTAAGTCATCTACTCAAAGTGCCATACAAGTGTTTTGGGTCATGTGTAACTTAAGAGAACTACTGAGGATTGTTGCATTCTTTTTTACTTGGCAGTGTGACCTTTTACAACAGCATTATAGAACAGCAAGCTTATTGTGAATATTTTCCCTGCTTGGTTTTGTTATTCATACATTAATTTAAATTAATGGTGTTTCAAACTTGGTAATGTGTATTATTCCCATTGTTCTGTGTTCTCTTGCATTCCTTCCTTTCTTCTTTTCAAGAACATTGCCAAAGAACCAAGCAATTCTCAGCTTCTTTATTGACTTCATTCTGCTGTATTAGAAATAGGCATTGTCTTAAAAAGACAGAAACTGACAAAAAAATTCTGTAAATTTCATTCATGTACCACAATATTGTAGTGCTGCACTTCAGCTGTATACATATTATAAATATATATACATACATACATTCAAGTATGAATTGAAGAAAACAGTGTCATTTTTCTCCTTTTTCATCGCATAGTAAACGGTGTTCTTACAACATCTTGTGCTTCTTTTTGGTGAATTTCCCCTATTCCTACAGCAGGAGTAGCCAGTGGTGGGCGTCCAGAGTATTTTAACTGTAATGTAAACTCATATGAAATTGACAAAATATTCATATGCTATGGGACACGCTAAGAGTAATGTTAAGTCGCATACCAATGTCATTCCGGTTCAAAGAACATCAATGAGGAAGGTCAACAGCGGACTCCAGAATAAATTGCAATGTAATGGTAGAGAAATTTTATATATATGAACGAATGTAAATATTACTATCATTTTCTGCTAATTTGTGTTAAAATATTTTAAGTTTTTGAGATACAAAAAGGGCATTTAATCAAGCCTTTCTGCAAGAACACATATGAACTGTTTTTTTGAAGAACTAACAAATTACTCTTTTAAATTGACTGATGCTAAAATAACATTTCAGCATTGACACCCTCTTTTCCTCCCCAATTGGTATGCGACTGTTAAGTAGTGCTTCTACCTTTCTTCCTAGTAGATTCTCAAATCTTGGTTTTACATAACTCCATGCTCCCATGTTTTGAGGTTCTTCCTGGCTCCATACAAAATCTACAATGACAACAAGAAAGATAAGGCAGCTTTGCATTTGCAAAAGAAAATTTACACTGGATACACTTACATTTTGCATGTTTGTACTTTGATAGTACTTCCTGGAGAAATGGTGTTGGGAAGGGAACGAGACCTTCTAGTCGTATAATTGCTGTATCTTGTATTCCTGATTCTTTTCGGTATTTATCAAGAGCATAGAAGTGCTTTCCACTGACTAATATAATTTTTTTGATGTGGTCGGCTTGTGAGTTGTCTCCTGCACAAAAAACGTGTTGTGAAGTATATTATTAATAAACTGATTTATGGAAGTGTTGTGGCTTGGAATTGTACCAACCAAGGACAGGCAAAAATGATGTTCCTTCAATCATTTCATTGAGTGAAGAGGTTGCATCCGGATAACGTAATAGTATTTTGGGGGAAATCACTACCAAAGGTTTCCTGTAATCTCGTACCATCTACAATTAAATAATCATTAATAGGAAGTTGCAAAATATGAATAACAATAAAATAATACACTATTATTATTACCTGTCGGCGCAACAAGTGGAAGTACTGGGCTGGAGTGGTGGGATTGGCTATGTGCATATTGACATCATCTCCGTCAGGAAAATTTTCCTTTGAATCTGTCATTTGTAAGAAACGTTCTATACGACTTGAACTATGTTCAGGGCCAGCTCCATCGTATCCATGTGGTAGTAGAATCACAAGACCACTGCAAACCATCCATTTAGCTAAAATATGAAATTAAATTATATAACCCAAGTGGTGTGAATTCAGAGATTTGCAGTGGATTCAGAAACTTACTTTCACCACCCGTGACAAATGTATCAATTTGAATTTGAGCTCCATTAAAAAAATCTCCAAACTGTGCTTCCCAAATTATCAACTTCTGTGGGCTTTCAATGCTCATTCCATATTCAAAGGCTAGTACAGCTTCTTCTGATAAGGTGCTATTTGCTATCTATATCAATTATAAGTAAGTAATTCAGGCAATAACAAGCAATTCAAATTTTATTTGAAATTTCTTACTTCTAAAAATCCTTTTTGATCGTTGATGAGATTGTTCAGTGGAATGAACATGTCGTTTGTAACTTGGTCTATGATCATAAAGTGTCTATGAGAAAATGTACCTCTCCCAACATCTTGACCACTCAAGCGAACATAGTGGCCTGAAATTAGTCTCATGTTAGTGAACAAAAAGGATGAGGCTTTTATAAATGTAAAATTCGATGGCTTGAGTCCATCTTTGCTATTTGGGTGACGCTGCATTGCAGGCTGAGAGGCCACCTGTCATGCTGCAGGCTTCCACAGGGCAGGGGCACCACAGTGCTGTGTGTATGGTATCATATACTTTGCCTGCAACATGACAGGACGTTTTCCTCTCAGCCTGCGATTTAGTGTCCCCTGCAAAGAAGATATGATACTTATAATTGGAAAACCGAGGTGTAGGACCTTGGTAGAGCAGTGATCCAACTGCCAGAGCTTCAGCTGTAGCCCAGTCAATGTTCTGGTCATTACTGATTTTGGTCATTCGTGCATTAACATGCGTTTTTAACAAATGGCTGTGAATACTCTGAAATAACATTAATTTTTTGTTACTTCTAGAATCCAATGAATTGACACTAATTTACTTCTAGCAGTACTTACAAATGTTTCTGGGTAAGATACTGATTTGGTTCCTACATATTTTAAAATATTGATGTCAACTCCTGTGTCCCATGTGGTCAACGCTGCAGGAGCTTGGTTTATATTGGCCCACTGCCGTTTGAAGAAGAATTTCTGTCACATAATATTATTATTATTATTATGATTTTTGGAGCAAAACTTAATTAATTACAATGATGTCAATAACTTGATTAAAAAGCTTGTACTGATCACTGAGAATTTTTCCAATAATTGATTGCAATATTGCAATTCTTACTACAAACAATAAGTGTTAGTTTTTACAAACTGAATTTCAAATGTTGCAGTGCTGTTACTAAAAGTTTGCCCATGTATTATGTTAATTTGTATTTATAGTACTAAGATTATTTGAAAGCTAGAGACAATTTCTAAATTAAAAATTATTTGAAAGAAGTGATCAATTTTTGTTGTGTTATTTCAAGAATAATATAAATTTTTTGATAACAAAAAGTAGATTACTAATGATCATCTCCATTCTACACTGCATTTTAAAATTTCTAATATGGTTTGCCGAATTTTTTTGTGTATCTTTTGTTGTTGCAAGATAAATCACTTTACCTGAACTTCAAACGTATCTAAATTTTTCAAAATACTGTTTAACCATGAAGAACACTCATTAGTTATGGATGATGCTTCATCTTGGGTCATTACTCCTTCTTCTACCAGTGAGTTCACGTACATGTCAGGAACAGATCTAAAGGCAATGACTTGTCATTTTTCAATATTTTTTTTTTAACATATTTAATTTTGCTTATTTTCAAATATACCTTCTTGATGTTATTATTCTGTACACAGCTGGATTGGTAAATGTAGGATCATCTAATTCATTGTGCCCCCACCTTCTGAAGCACATTAAATCCACAAACACATCCTTCCGAAATTTTCTCTGATATGCAACTGCAAGTCTTGCAGCCTTAACAACCATCTAGAAGAAAAAGGTATTTCAAAACACTGGTTGGTCACGAGTAAAATATTTTTAATTTTCAGTGGGAGATACCTCAGGGTAGTCACCATTGACATGTAGGACTGGGGCTGATATCATTTTAGCAAGATCAGAACAGTATGTTGTTGATCGCCCTCTTTCTCCAGGAGTCGTGAAGCCTAATTGATTATTTACAATGAGATGAACTGACCCTCCAACTTCGAAGTGTGGCACAGAAGTCATATTCAGCATTTCTTGGTTCACACCTTGCCCTGCAAAAGCTGCATCACCATGGACCTGTAGTCAAAAGAAAAATTAGGAGTTCCTAAATTATGAACTCCCAGTTTTTGTATTTTGGGAAATTGAAGGTGGTGCTCTCTGTAACCTGAAAGTTGAGAACTTTGTCACTCCAATTGGCTGTGTCTGAATAAGCTCCGTCACCCAGAGATTGTTGTCTAGCACGAGCTTTTCCCATTGAAACAGGGTTTACTGCCTGCCCGTAAAAAAAAAGTTTCATTATTTTATAGGAACTGTTATGTGTAAAACATCAACATTACTGGGTGACTTAATACCTCAAGATGAGATGGATTGTACAAAAGTGTTACATGAATAATTTTTCCATCAATATGAAGATCAACAGAGTTTGCTAGAAAACAGAAAATAATTATTTAATTTGAACTGGAATAAATGAGACTATTATTAGATCATCCCATTATTTTATTTTTCAATAAATATTTCATCATATATTGTACTCAACTGTAATGGGTGACTACATCACCAGTTGCTTTTGCATCTGAAGGGAATTCTGAAAGACCTTTCAATTTTCTAAAAATCATTGCAGGAGGAAAGTGAAGTAGACCTGTGAGGAAGTTCAGTCTTCCTCTGTGAGGCATACATAATATTATTTGTTCCAGGCCATCTACAAAAAATTAGAAAAGTTCTAAAAATTAATTAACTTGTGATGTGCATGTGTAGAGAAATTATTATACAGTTTGTGTATAAATGTTTGACTTCACCTTCAGCACATAATTTGAATAATTCAGAGTAAAACCCCATCATACTTTCAGCTCCTTCTGCACCGTATCGTTTCACAGTTACAAATTTTGTAGCTAGAAAGTTATCAAAAGCTTGGGATTTTAATAAATCAGTGGCAAGACCTTTGCGTGTAGTATTGTCTAGGTCTGTGTATGCAATTTCTTCTATGGCCTTAGCAAACCATTCCTTTTCTTCATTTTCCTAAAAAGAAAAATGTTTAAGCGCAAATTTATGTTAATCATGAAGTTTAGTATGGTATGCTATTTTTATACCTCAAGATGCAGAAATTCAGCACTTAAATGGGAAGTATATGAATTATTCAAATGTTGTATGGCTTCCAAAACAGTCCCTTGTTGTTTTGGTGAGAATAATATTCCTGAGAATTGAAATTGGTCATTTATCTGTAGACCAAATAAACTGGGATCCAAATCAGGCACAGTAATTCTGTAATATACTGCTGCTTTCATAATGTGGAACACAATATGATGTAATTGTATATTAGTCAATGTAGTACATCTTAAAATAAATAATTACGTTTACAAACCTATCAATCACAAGTGGATTAACACTAGCCATCTTATGCCCATGTTGCCTATAGGCCATCACAAAATTATAAAACTGGTTCTGCTTGATGCGTATTTCTTGAACACTAGGAGGAACTGAAATTATGAAGTTGAAATAAATTGCAGTTTGAACTTAATACGTTAATTGTGTATTTTGTCCTCAGTTTGAAAGTCTTCATGGGCACAATGAGGATTTGAAGAAGTGCTTCTTCCTGTCTCCCTCAATGAGGGATCCTTTACCTTCGGGAGAAATTGTGTGCTCAAAGAGAAAGTGTATGATTTACACAATATTTAGAATGATATCAAAGCCATTTGTGATCCTCATGAAAGAGCAAATACAATTTGCTAGTTTTCAATACATGATACACAGCATAATAGAAGGATTAAACAAAGTAAGCTTGTATGCAGGAATGTAATATATTGCAATTTCGTATTAAATTGACAGGATTTTCATAATTACTACATTGCGATCTTTCAGTTTGTCGTTATTTGAATAAACCGCGTATAAAGCAACAGAGGGTACCGACCTCTACCCTCTAGTTTGACCATCCCTCCTCTCATCACTTTTATCTGGAGTCATACTTACCCCTGAAGTCTTCCTTTGCTCGGGGTCGGTAACCGTACACCCCATTTCGCGAATGATAGTTGCGCTTGAGGCAGGTAAAGATGCGGTCTTTCCCGATACGGGAAGTGATTCCTCGGCTTAGTAGGGGTTGCGAGTGTTGAGCGAGAATAGCTGGCAGAAGACACCCGTTTCTGGTATGGGTAGCTACCGACCCCGTGACTCGCAGGAAAGAGTGGCAGAGCCCATGGCATTTGACAGGCACGCGGTGAGTAAGGTAGCACATAATCCCGATATTATGCAGACCACACCGAACTATTGTAATGAATGTGGTCTTTCCCATTGTGTTCCTTCCACATGTGAGAAGCTGATAGCGCTGCAGATTGGGTCACTAGCCAAGCGAGTGCCCTTGAGTGTGTTGATTTAACTTCTGACTCCCCCTCCTTGCGTAGCTTATTCAGTCTACTCGGCGGCGTAGATAGGCCTCCTTCGACGGAATCGCGCCGTATTTAAAAGTGTTCATTGCACTTCAATATTTCTTCTTGCTTCATTGTTTTGCTGATATACGTTGTGTTTAAGACATTTTAAATGTTCGTTCACATACCTAAAATTTATCCTCGTATTTACGGACAGGTTTTGGTTGCAAGAAAATAGGCTACATCAGGAATTACACACAGGCCTAAATGTGGAACATGCAATACCGCTAATCAGATTATTGCGAATTTGCAGATTATTAAATTGAAATTTGGGAAAAGCAATTTTATTGCTATTGTATTTTATTCTAAAATTTAATATATGAAATCAAATACTTAACTCTCGCTCTCGTGTTGTTGACCTATCGTCGGTTTACACAAGCTAAATAAATGAAAAATCTTGACATGTCCTATTTCACATACGGTTAAAGTGTGTTAGGTGCATAGGCATGCGTGCAGGGGAGGGGTGGTGCCCCCCCCCCGAAGATCCTTAACCTTACATCAATAGGTTCAGTTTCTATTTCCTCTTTGCATCTGACAATTTGGGAAAGAGGCTATACAGTCATCTGACAGCTCTGTAAATGATCAATTTTTTGGGAGGAGGGTAGGGATTAACTGCGTTATTAAAGTTCCACTTTTCATGCTGCTTGTAGTAATTTTTTTGGTAGTAAAATATATGTAACCCAAAAAGTTTAATGAAAAAGGGGCCAGAAATGTAGTTGGCCCCTCTTCATTTATTTTACGTAGAAATAATGAAAATCTGTGTGACGTGCTACGTAGAGAAGTCCATTTTTAAATTCTGGGAACCCTACCCTAAGCCATATACAAGTTGAATTCTAAATACAGAAAGAAATGAACGTTTTTGAAAAAAATGATAAGAAAAAGTTTGCTCTGATGTAATAAAATCTATTTTCAAGGACAAATGAGCAATAGATTTGGGCTCTTAGAATTCTCTTTTTTTAGGTTGCGGAGGACTAACATATGTGAATGAAAAATGTAACCCTGTGAACTCCTGGGAGTGGCAACGGTGGATGAGACTCGTGCGTTTTGTCGCTAAGTTTCGCTTGTGAAAAAAATGTCAGACCAGGATGTGATTCAGGGGCGGGATTTCGGATCTTTTATGGGGGGGGGGTACGGTCTCCCCGCATATGATGGTGAAACGTTCCCTTAAACCGAATGGCATGTGAGTAGTTACACTATAATTCTAACATAAACATATTTTTGAAAGATTTCTTATCTCCAGTCACACCATTTATATTCTAGAGCCAGAAACATGTTTTTTTTTTAATTTTAATTTTTTCGTCAACTTAACGGTATTTTATCCTATTGAAAAACATACAAAATAAAATAATTTATACTATCAGAAAAAATATTTTTTGATATTTTCTCAACGCCAAATTCAAACGCAAAAGTTTTTTTTTTTTTGAAAAAAATAATTATTACTCTCTTAGAACTCTGGAATAAAGTCTCAAAAGTTCTTCTT